CGGGATTGAAGTAGGTTCCTACACCAGGCTGGGAAATTGAAGTCAGCGCTCTATCAGCGACTCGGGCCGTCTCTGATGACGTCGGATCGCCGCAGTGTCATTTCGGCCAAAGCAGCGGTCGCCCGGGAAAGAGACCGCTGTGTTGTTCTCGGCGTGGAGAGCCCTGGCTCACCTGGTAGTAGCAGAGCTGCTGGTTATTGTCGTCATCCTTCTGCAAGAGGGAGTAGAACTTGACGACGTTGGTGTTCTACAATAGACACAGTTAGTTGGAAGCGAACAGTGATTGACGTCATACGCACATCTCCGTCGTACTGGCTCGCTGTACCGTCGAAGCACAGGATGAGGGTGCGCGACTTGCGGTCATCCTCGTCCTCCGGGGGCGTGTTCTTTCCCTGCGGCACGCCTGAGGGGGCTGTAGGGTCGGGGGACGACTGGGGGGACATGGTGACGAGGACAGAGGGGAAGGGGAAGCGGCTGCGAGACCCCAGCTGGGGTTTATATATAGGGCTTGGATATAGAGCGCGGCAATGTGACGTGGGTGAGTGACGGGGCGCGGGTCATATTCAACTTGGGAAGTCTGCGGACGGCAGCGACGGAGGACGTCATCCGATGGGGGACAGACACATCGCGAGAGAATGTCGGTTACGGCGGGCGGCCGCGCTCGGCTGGACCATGCCCACCATGCAGCTGGCCGCCGCCATTCATAGCGGCGACAGCTTGGCACTGCACGTTTGCCACATGACTGGGCCCAAGCTGGGCCGCACGTTCATACAGACATCGGAATGGTCCCACTGTACCGTCCAAATGTGGCAGATTCGGTCTTTGAGCTTCTTAGACATATATCCGAGATCCACTTTCTCACTGATCTTGGCGCGCGTCGCCAGAAGCAATATAGGCTTTTCCGAAGGCTGGGCGCAGAAGAGAATGCACGGGGTTAGTGTCGGGACTCTCAGAGGCTCAGAAAAGCTTACGTACATGCATTACTAGCCTGAGTAGGAACAAGGAGGACGATTGGGAGCCTCATGGCGCCGGAGCCTTGGCAGAGCGCCCGTGGTGGCGCTTTCTCGCAATCAAACCATAAAACCGGTTCCATTGCCGCCTTCTCACCCGGTCCTGTAGGTTCATGTCATTCTCAGTATGCGGATGCGTTCCGTAGATGCACGGGAGCAGATAAGTATGCAAGCAATAGTCCTATCGATAGATGTACAGCATCGATCAATATATCACCAGTCAATGAGAGAGTTCGAACCAAGCACGTTCTCAACGTTCCCGCTAGATGCCAGCATACGTTCAGTACTCTTCGCCGGGATAGTCGACCTGGTCGTAGAGCCGCAGCGTCTCGTTCCAGTCCCGCTTTCTCCGCCTCCTCACCGAGAAGTACTTCGCCTTGCTCGCCCACCGCCCGCGCACACGGCCCTTCTCTACCCCACCCGTCTCCGCAAAGTACGTCTCAGGCTCCTCCGGCAGGCCCAGCGTGCCGACCGCAAGCGCCATGACGCGCGCGTGCAGGTCCGCGCGGCGCTCGCGCATGCCCTCGAGCGCGGGCTTCCCGACGCGCAGCAGCCGCGAGAGCGACATGAACGCGCGGAACGCCGCCACCGCGTCCTCCGTCCAGCGCAGGCTCATCCACATGCCTGCGGGCACGAGGATGGCGGTGAGGAATGCGACGGGGAGAGTCGCGAGCAAAGCGGTGAAGTAGACGCAGACGTAGGAGACGAGGCCGTATGTGAGCTTGTACTGCGCGATCTCGTCGTAGGTGTCCCAGACGGGGCCGGTGCGCTTGTATTGGTGCACGGCGATGAAGGTGGTGATGTAGACGGGGAGCCAGAGGATGAGGCCAGGGATGGATAGTGCGATGAGGAAAAGTGACCAGATTAGCCGGACGAAGATCCTGTACAGGATGACGGGGCGAGGTAACGGGCGGCGGATGCGGTCATCCTTAATACCCCACCGAGATAGCTGGTCTTGATACTCCTACATTCCAGCCGTTAGACGACTGCCCTACTCGGCAGAACTCATAGCCTACCTTGAGGTCGTTTCCAAGCTGAAGTATCTTCCTGTCCTCTAGCGTGACCTGTTCGGACGGCGGAGCCTCGCCATCACTGGTGGGGTCCGCCTTTGGCTGCTCGGCCGCCTTGAACGCTTCGAGGAACGTCCTCACCACACGGACGTAGTCACCCAGACTCATTGTCGTGCCTAGCGGTGCATACATGCGCGCAGCGAGTTTCGCGATTCGTATCAACCTCCAAGAGGGCGCATCGAGAGTGCCCGAGCTGATTTGCTGGTGCATCTTCGCCGTGAGGGTCCGGATCTCGTCGTAGTTCACGGGTGCCAGGAGCTCTGGGTTGTCCTATGATGTCGAGTTAGACAAATGAAGCGGTACTGTCATGGCGTGTGCACTAGCCTTCGCTGTGAACTTCGTGGGTGGGTGGAAAGTCACTAGCACATCGGAGCGGAAGCTTTGCCGATGCCTGCGAGCGCGCGTAAGACGTATACGGAATATGCCAGCTGAAGACCACCTACATGTAAGTGATGGAACAAGTGAGGACATCAATCTCGAAATCTGGGTTGTCGCGGTTCCGCGAGAGCACGTCAGACACCAAGCGCGAGACTACGCATACGGGTAAGCTCCCTGAAAGTGAAAATACAGCAAACACTTGCTGACCTCCAGTTTTGAGAGGGGCGATGGTGGGATGGTACCGGCTCATGCCTTCCGGGAATAAGCATACAGCGTCGCCAACCTCGAGAGCCTATTTCACACTGATCAACCACCATGTCAGGAGGGTGGCCAAAGGTGTTCACCTCCACAAGGTATTTCATGGCATGGCTGTTGTCGACCGTTCCGTCGGGGGCGTCCTTGCGCCGCATGAGCGGTACTGTCCCCGCGGACTCGATAAGCCAGCTCGTGAAGTTCTTCCTTCCGAACTGGGTCGCCTTCGCCGTCAACCTGAGAAGGTTGCGCTTCTATTCTCGGGCAGTGTATTAGGGTAATAGGAGAACGACCCGAGCGGACTGTCATACCTTCGAGGGTATGGATGTAACCAAGAGTCTAAGCTCGCCACCCCAGTTAAGCTATGCCGGTGGACAAGCCAAAGAGTACTCACAGGGCATCAGTAAGGGAGTTGCTGTGGTTGGCGCAGACTATACTGCGGCAAGGAAGGTGTGGGGATGCGGCATACGCGCGCCGAAAACGAGGCCACTCACCATGGCGTGCCTCTGGGGGGAATCAAGTCGGCGTTCTCCACGACAATAGTGCCATAGAAGATCTTGAGGACGAACTTAAACAGAAGGCTAGATGCTCCCTCCTTCAGCCCCAGGACGTCTGCCACACGCACGGCGTCTTTACCGTATGAATAGGTAGGACCATGGCGTCGGGCTGCCCTTCGGCGTTGACATGGACCGGTAGTGATTAAAGTCGCCGCACTAAGATATCTCCAAGCAAAGAGAAAATATGAGAGTGTTCAGCTGTTGCCAGCCGTGCGCAGAACTGCTGAGATGAGCAGGCCGAGGGATGTTGGTCGTGGTCTCCGCATGAGTTACGACCTTCCCCGGCATGCTAACAGCGCCTTGGAGGCGCTCGGTGACGGCATGCCAGCGCCAAGCCAAAGTAAATTAAGCATTACGGGCGCCTGCAGAGCGTACGATCCTCTATCGATCCTCGACCACCTTGCGCGCTGATTGTCTATTCAATGACCATCGGACATGCACCTCGGCCTGGCTTGCGCTGAATCATGGGTGCTAGCTCGGGCTTGGCGCGCGGAGGCGCCTTATCAGACCCGGAACAGAGCTTAAGACGACCTATATTCGCTATGGAAGCTCTGGGGAACGCCTCAGCCGCGGAAGTCGCTATGAGAGGAGAAATTGGCTGCTTGGTAAGTCTGTGGTGCCCATGCGGACACACTTAAGAGCCTCTCGAGTCATGCACAGGTCCATTGCACCAAGTTCGTGTGTGACTCACGCGATCGTGTATATAGAGTCCTGGCCATGGGTACGGTCTGACCCAGGGTAGATTCTTCTAACCCGCTGCAACCCTAAGTCGGCAGATCTCCATACCCTCTGCGACGCACATTGCAATGCCGGAGCCCATCGTTTTATATGATATCCCTAGCCAGGGCACCGCGGTGAAGTCGTGGTCCCCGAACACCTGGAAGATCAGGTATGTGGCACATAACGCACGTTTGTTCAAACTTAAATTGCACTCCGTAGGTACGCCTTGAACATCAAGGGCATCCCGCACAAGACCGTGTGGGTCGAGTACCCCGACATCGAAGCCCTCATGCGGAAGATCGGCGCGCTCCCCACCGGGACCAACCCGGACGGCTCCCCGCAATACACCATCCCCACGATCTACGACCCGAACACGAAGACCGTGCTCGCCGATTCCGCGCTAATCGTCCGCTACCTCGACAAAACGTACCCGGACACCCCGCGCCTCATCCCCGCCGGGACCGACGCGTTGCACGCCGCGTTCACCCAGGCGTTCCGGTCCGTGCTCGTGGAAGACCTCTTCCCGATCACCGTCCCCGCGACGGCGGACCACCTCCCGCCGCGCAGCGAGGCGTACTTTCGCGCGACGCGCGAGGTGCTCTTCGGCGTGCCGCTCCAGGAGCTCTCGCCCCCGGGCCCGAAGCGCGAGAAGCACTGGGCGGGGTTGCAGAAGGCCTTTGGCACGTATGCCCAGTGGCTTCAGGCGGACGGGGTGGATAAGCCCTTCTTCCTTGGAGACAAGATCGGGTATGCGGATATCAGCATCGCCAGCTACACGGTGTGGATCCGTGTTGTGTTGGGAGAAGATAGCAAGGAGTGGATGGACTTCAAGACTTGGGATGGGGGGCGCTGGGCAACATACATGGACGCTTTCAAGCAGTACGAATACGTGGATGTTGGTGAAGCTGCTGTACCTTGAATCAACAGGAAGTTAGCATTGTACAAGGTTTGTAGCTGCTGCGGAAAGTGATGTAATCACATGTCGACTTTACACACATTACAACATTGCAACTGCCTTCTTAGCTCAGTGGTAGAGCGCGCCACTCGTACAATCCTGTGTGCTATGGTGAGGTCGGTTGTTCAATCCAGCCAGGAGGCACTGACAAAATCTGTGTGAAGTTTTTCTCTCTCATCCTACGTGATCAGTCATTGCCTCACGATATCGATATTCCGTCTGTACTTCAAGCTTAGCTCCAGTCTTCGGCCCTCGATTGCTTCGTTGCCGTCATACAACATTGCTCGTCATTCATTTCCATATACAATTTCAAATGATCTGGGACGAGAAGGCTATCGGCAGAGCTTCCACATTCCATCCTTCACTATAACCAGGCCCTCCCGCCGCGCGGCCTCCATGAACTCGGCGAGCTGCTCAATCGTCTGATCGTAACCAGGCGCAAACTTGAGCATAGTTTGTATGCGCGCGAGCGGTAGTGCGCCCAAGTTCGTGAGCATTCCTTCGATGAACTGGAGCAGCACAGTGAGAGATTGATTAGCATTGCGTCATTGGGCGGTGACAAAGACGAGAGCGACGTGCCTTCCAGAAGACCTTCATCTGCTCTGCCTGTTGTTGCTGGACAGCCAATGCGGGCGCTTCCTCGTCCGCGGCTGTAGTCGTGTACGGTTAGATACGGTACCCACCCACAGCATACACCTAAACAGAGAGGCATACCTGCACGAGTTGCGGCCTTCTGACCAGAAGGTAGGGCTTCTGCGATCTCGAGGAGCTTGTACCGATCCTCGTCTTCCTCCTTGAGCACGCCGAGGTCGAGCCAAGTAGTGAGTGCCTTGACGATGGCGGTCTTCTCGACAGACTTCAGCTCGGCGGCAAGCTCGTCCACCGTCCAGGTGTCTACAGCATAACATCGTTAAACGGATGGTGTTGGGGGGCACGAAAGAAAAGGAAACGCACCCTTCTGAGAGAAGAACTCGACGATTGACGCTTCAAGAGGGGGCACCTCTGCACTGACTGTGCGGTCTTGCAGCTCGATGTCGAGCTTGATTGTCCCGAGATGCGACAACCAGTGCAGACGTTTGTCCGGTTTGAAGAGGTGGAACTCCTTCGCGTACGACTCCTGAATACTGCAGAAATGTTGATCAGTCGCACGGCTTCATTTGGGCTGTGGGGCGGCTTACTCTCTAAATTGACCGGGCATAGTGAAACTGTTGGTCTGGAGAGGCGGCCAGAAGTGGCGCGAGATGATAGTTGGGTGCAGAGGTACCTATATACCAGAATTAGTAGTGATCAATCGGCTGAGCACACATTGATACTCACAGATTTCTGCGCCTGGACGTGCTGGTCGATACGGCGAGAATCTGTCATGTCGCGCAACATGACTTCGCAGACCTGCAAGGCGGCCTCTCCGAAGCGAACCTTCAAGATCTCGATGTTCCTCCGCTGTGATGTAGCATCATTTGAGTGTTCCAAGCATATAAACGATGCACATACCTCTCGTTCGTAGTTACCATCCTTCACCGCCAACAGCCTCTGCGTGAGAAGCACCTGCAACTCCTTGACAAAAAGGTCCTTGGAGTCGTATATGCTGACCAGTGTACTGATCACGTCGCTCGGCTTGTTAGTCCGGAAATCTGTCAAGGACGTTTAGGCACGCATGCATAACCGGTGAAAACGGACGTACCTGGACCGGCATCAATGGGTTCAGGCTCCCAGTTCGGGTCAGAGAAGTCGTCCGCCTGCATTTGCTGCAGAGGCTGGATAGGCTCGTTCTCGTCGACCAGCGAATCGCCACTCTCGCCGTCGCCGACAAGACTCGCAACGATACACCGAATGGTGTCTGATCGTTCTCTACAAAGGTACCAGCCTCAGATTGGGGATATTCAAAGTGCCGGAAAGAAGTCTCACCTAAGGTACTTCCGTATAGGGTCTGCCACCTTGTACAGCAAGACTCCTGGTGGATCGATAATTCGTAGACATCGAATGATGGAGACATATTGCGTCAGGATATCTTTCGTGTCTGCCCCAGGATGAAGGAGCCGTTTCTTGTTCCTAAATCGATCTGTGGCATCAGCAGGTTGTTGAGGGGTGATATTCACTGAAGCATACGCTTTGCGAAGATTGACGACTAGCTGGCTGCGCTGATCTACGCGCTGCAGACATTCCTGAATACGACCACGAACACGGTTAACCATCATCTCGAAATCCTCAAACCCAGGCCGTGAGGAAGCGACCTTCAAATCCTGCAGCGCACTCTGTGAATCAGGATAATCAATGATGATGTCGAAGATTTCCTGAATGCTGTGGATAGATGTTAGCAAACGTTTCGTCAATAATTACGGTGGCTGGCCCTACCGAAGGTCGCAGAGCGTTTTGCAGACGTGGTAGTCAAATCTTGAACCAACCCCTTGCAGCATCGCACGCGCTTCCTCAGCTGTAAAATCATGAGCTCTACTCACGAAACATGAATACGTCGAAGCTGCACTGACCGCTTCTTGCGCCTCTGGCGTAAGGCATGATCATCCACGGGACGATCTTCTCGGTCATCCATTCCCTTAGCTTTGGCAGCATAGGCTCATCCCATTTCTTGGCGCACGTCTCGAGGACGTGCGCTTCGATATACTCGTAGCATACGCTGGATATCAGCGACTCGTACCGTTCCAATAGACCTAGCGTTTCGCAAGCAATCCAGAGTTGATAATCCGGACGCGGTGGCGGATCTATGGGCGGGAGATCTGCAGGTATAACCCATGGTGGCGGTGAGGACGCGCTGACCAAGGAGAACGTCGAAGCTATGAGTTCCTTGAACCCCCGTGAGAAGGAAGGAGGGAATATAGAGAATATGTGAGTTCGGAACGCGAGAGTATAGGCAGCGTGTATGGTCAATCCCAATCTGACAAAACGCGCGTTAGTTTGTGCCTCCGATAATCCCATGAGACGTCTGGCCTTACTCTGCTATAGGTTTCCACGAAACATACCACGAAACAAGGCGGAAGATTAATCGCACGATAGAATCGGCTTGACTGGAGTTCTGCACACAATAAATATATAGGTCACTGTATATCCGCTGCAAGACGTACCTCATATTCCGCCATGTACTGCGCTACCTCCCGCTCAATAAGGTACTGTTGCCTCCGCATGTCCTCTGAACCGTATTCCCTGACGGTCAAGCGTGTCAAGCACAGATGCAGAGTGAAGCAACATACCGAGGAAGTTCTCTAGAAGCATAGACAGCATCCTTGCCTTCCCTACCAAGTCAAAGGCCGTCCGAATCTGTTGCATATCTTGTGGCTAAGCTGAGTACCCCGCACTTCAAGGGTGTTTCATTTCCTACACACCAGTCGTTTTGACGGAAGTGGGGTCGTTTATATCCCGTGGATATAGGAATTTGGAAGCTGTCTGCCATGCCTATGTGCATAACGGCGAGTCGCGTCGAGTTACATGTTAGCGGCAAGAATTGTTCGCATACCTGGCTAAAGGACAGGAGTCCTTGAATTCCTGGCTCCTCCCCGTTCAGGCGTTCGAAAGCCTTCTGCCATTTAGCAGAGGTCTGTATTCGTAGTGACTCTGTTGCCATGCGAGAGTGGTAGGAGCGGGCACAAGAGGCGAGGGGTGGTGGTGGTGGAAGAGAGCAAAGTGATCGCGAGCCACGGGCGCGTCGCGTCGCGTCCAAGACGCGCCTCTCCGGGCGCTTACACGTCCCTTTGACTTGATCCACGACCACGACGACCTCTCAGGCCTCAGCGCTCAGCCTGGAGCTTAATCTCAGTCCTACTTTGGTCCTTTGAAGACACTATCATACGTGTCATACGTTACTAGATGCCTTCAACTGGGAATGTCTTCACCTATGCCTACAAACATGTCGACGGGCTTCCCGTACATATCGATGTGTATCCACCGCACCAGGCAATATCCTTCGAGGTCTCCGCGCCGATGCCCGCAGTGATTTACTTTCATGGAGGCGCTCTCACTGTCGGAAACCGCCGGAGCTGGTTTCCTACGTGGTTGCATAGTAAGCGTCTACTTTCGTCTCGGTGTCAAAGACATCTGTTGCGTGGTCATTTCCTTACGCTGGACCCATATCAGGACGCGTGACAGAATTGGGGATGGTTTTCATCTCTGCAGACTACCGGCTCATCCCTCCTGCTACCGGGCATGAGATCCTCTGTGACATCAAAGACCTCTTCCACTTCATCGAAAGCGAGCTCAATCAAGGCATTCTAGAGGATTGTATCGCCACCGCGTACGCTAGTCGCCCTTTCCAGATCAATACGCATGCGCTCGCCGTGTCGGGGAGCAGCGCTGGAGGGCTATGCGCGTATTTAGCAGCTATACATGCATCTCCTAGACCCAAAGCCGTCCTATCCATGTATGGAATGGGAGGCGATATGACGGTCAGTCCGTTTTTGAGTATGTAGTATACAGGACTCTTACTATCACAGACGCCGCAATACCTCGAGCCTAAATCGGAGCCATTCTTCCGTGGACGGGAGATACTGGATCCTGGCGACTTCTCTGAATATCTATACCCGGCATCCACGCAGTCGCAGCCCACTCCAGACTCACCGTTAGCCTACCACCCGCCGACCTACCGCATACCTGGATACCCGGCTAATCCACGGATGCTGCTCGGCCGGTTGTATCTTCAGATGGGCACGTTTTTAGATTACTACACCGGCTCCCACAACCCCAGCCTCAGCGCGATCCTGCGAGCCCACGCCAATGAGCAACTCCAAGGCGACTACAGCGCCTCGGCAATGGAGAACCCGGGCTCGGGCGATTTACTGAAGACTTCTCAGCAAGCTATCCCGGCTGCGCATCGGCACCTTCTCCCCCAATTCATGATCACTCCTGCGTTGCCACCGATGTTCCTCATCCACGGGTCGAGCGATACTGCGGTAGTAGTCAAAGAATCTCACAATCTACGCTCTCTGTTGGAAAAAGCTGGAGTTCGCGCGGAGTTGGTGGTCGTAGAGGGCAAGGAGCATTCATTCGACTATGAGCCGAATGCAGAAGATGAATTTGGCGGGCCGGGAGGGCTGTTTGACCGAGCGGTAAGTTTCCTCCGAGAAGCCTTGATTACTTCGTGAGTGAGTAAATGTCATTATAAGGTGGCATTATGTGCATTGACGACTTTGCTAGAGTCG